TGAAGGAAGGGGCCATGGAAATACATGAAAGGAAAAATGCATCCCTTTGCTCTTTGAAGTGAGAGGCCTAGGCTGTGCCAGACAGTGCTTTCATGAGTAACACTACAGCGAGGGGCTTGTTGTCAATCTGGGTTCGAGTCCAGACTCAGTCCCCACTAATGGAACCATCTCTCTGAACCTCAGTCCCCTGATCCATGAACAGAGGGTAAGGCACCTACTTTGCACAGTGGTATGGAGATTCAACATCAAATAAGATCAACTTGAGGAAAGCAGTTATTTCTGGCTCATGCATCTCCCAGGGGGACAGGTTTAGGGAAGAACTGGCAAATTCCAGTTTTCTTCAGTCACAACTCAGGTGTCCCACCTTCTGAGACAGACTCATGCTTCCCAAGGATCACACGTACATAGGTCTGTTTACTACTCTTTTTGAAACAGGTATTTCTGTTTCAAGAGGTTTCTGTTAAAAAAAAATATCTCTTTCTGTTAAAGAGGTATTTCTTTAAAGGTGCTCTTAGGAAATTTATCTGCCAGGTGCTGATGACACTTTTGAGTTCATACACCTGGACACATTGTCCTTCACTCAACTCAAAGGCAGGAACTGGGTATCTTAGGGCCCTAATCCACATGCTCAAGGTCTTAACACTGGTGACTTGTGAGAGAGTTCAGTTTTAACAAAACTCAAATAATCACACTGCAGCACTAAGAAGTGGGCAGTATAGAGCCCATATGATCATCCCTGTTCTCGCCATATAAGAGCACAGGTTTGACAGCTTTCCTGGATCAGCAGAAAGGCACATCAACTGACTCCAAATCCATGGAATAGGTGTCTCCACACCTCACCTGAAAGATAGCCAAAACAATGAGGTTGCCTAACACCTGCAGCTCAGGGTCAGGTGGGAGGACGGGAATCGAGGCTGTTGTCCTTCAGGATTTCCCCGAAGCCTGGGTGCATCCTCACAAGGAGGTTTGCATCCTTTCTTCCTCCCCATTTGGCTCCCCTAGCCTGTCCTCTTTTGACACCGAACACTGTTTCTGCTCTCGACATTGATTACATCTGTATGCAGCTAATCTCTGCAAAGTGCTCCATTTGGCTGTCAGCTCTGTGTAAAGCCTATTATCCACTAAGTAGCATCAGTTTCTTTCTTGAAGTCATCATCCTCTGGAAAAGTGTCCACGATCAGAAGCAGAGGAACTTGCTGTGCAAGGGCTCTGACAAACTCCAGAGGCCACTTAAGAAAAAGCCACCAGGGACCTCAATGTATCAATGGGGCCATGGAGAACCTGCCCTGTGGGATAGATTCTGTCACCATTACAGTCTGAGCTGGTTATAACAAGGCTGCGGCTGGTCCATGGCTATACTCCTAGGGTACTAATTCTAGACAGCCCAGTGTGTGTAGCTCTCAGAGATGCTGGTAGGCAATGCCTTGACCTGCTTAGGATATGGAAGGCAAAGGTCAGCCCTGTGAGCTCTGTACCCAGACCCAGACTGTCCCAGACCTATGAAAACAAACCTAGGCTGTGGTCTCTTGAAGACCCACTTACAGATTTCCTGGAAAATGTCTCTGATGGAGAAGGTTCCCTGGGAAATCCACACCTGTTCAGGGAGTCTGAGGCCATACCTGGGTAGGTGCTTCCAGAGGCAGTCCAGAGGGATGCTCACAGGTGCCCCCTTGCCCCCCTGAATCTCGCAGGGGGCTGCAAAAACATGTTACCCTAAATGTGTCCATCACCTATGTGCTGCTCATGTAGACTGGCTCATGCTAAAAGCATCTGGTCCTGGCTTGCCTATCTAACCCCAAGGTCTTCATGCTCTTCAGATGGGTTGGTTCATAGAAGAAAATAGAATGGGAACTGAGGGATCAGCATTCAGCATGGACAGGAGGAGGGGTGAATGGCTCATGAGCTGGATGGGTTGCTAACACCCTCCCCTCATGGGCTCCTGGATAGAGGTGGACAAAGCAGCTGTGGGGAGAGATGGCTCAGTGGGGCTGCTGGAGCCTATGCAAGCACAGGTCATGGGCAAAACTGGTCGGATTTGTGCTTCCCTAAGTCCTCCAGGAGCTATTTCAGCCCGTGGAGGGAGTTAGAGTCTAAAGCAGGGGTTGTAGATTAGAGGTCTATGGGCCAGGGTGGGCCTGCAGGTATGCACGGTGTGGTTCACATAGTATTTTGTTTATTTAAATTAGTTGCCAATGCTTTAAAAATAGACTTATTTTAAAATATGGATTTCCTGCCTCCTGTGAAAAATGAGACTAACAGCACTGGGCCTATGTGGGCAGTCGGCTAAAGGTGGGTAGCAACTGTGCCCTTTAGACAAGGCCACTCCATGTATAGGCGCAGTGCTCCCAGGGACGGTGTACCCGAGGGCAGTGGGGTCAACAGGCGGTAGTTAGAAGGCCGGGCCTCACACTGATTGGGAAGGGGCCTTGCTCAGAGCTCCGCAGGCCTCGGAGCAGGAGGCCAGGCTTGGCTCAGAGCATGAACAGTCTCCGAGGGCTGGCAAAGAGAAGCAGTGGTTTGCCTCCCTTCTCCTCCTCAGGGCTAGGAGTCCTCCTTGTTCCTACCACCAGAAGCCAAGAGCCCTGCAGTCCGGGATATCAGCATCAGACAGGCAAGTCCCTGCCTGTCCCCAGTTCACAGGACACGTGCGTAACATACCCTAAACTACAGACAGCATTACCTCAGCCCCATGTGGCAAGAAGTAAGTGCCTTTTCAAACAGCATCAAGCAGATTTCAGGAAAGGACTGGCATGTGCCACAGAGTGTTCAACTTGGGCTTCAGAGCTGGGAGCCCAAATGTCTCCAGCTCAGGTACCTCTAAGACGAGCAAACACCTGGGTGGGAACTGAGGCTCAAATGAGTCCCATGAGTTGAACTCAGGATGTGCCAAAAAGGAGTCTTCCACACCCCCTTCATTTTATCCTTGAAAGACAGAGGGAAACACAGTGACTGTTTGAGCATAAAAATAACCTGGTTATGTTCAAGATGGATCTTATACTGGAGAGGTGACAAATAAGAACTACCTCACTCCAAAATATACCAAGCCAAGACACCCACCTCTGTGGCACACGCAAACCACGTGCCTGGTACCTCACCCACAACACACACACACACACAAATTGAGAATAAATAGGAAATAAAAGATATTTGAGCTTAAGACTTTTTCTAAAGTCTAAAATCTGGTCTACGGGCTGATGCTTAGAAGAACAAGACAGCCTGCCTCGGTGGAGCTGGGAACCGACACCAGACTCCTTGGCCCAGAGATGCTGATGAGGGAGCAGAAGCACTGAACAGAGAGGGGTGTAGGGCAGCCCTGGAAAAGTAGCCGGGACAGGTGGTCAGGTAGTTCAGGCACCAAATGCGGCCATTCTCTGACCTCCGATTCCAGGGACTGCCACCAGGCAATGCCTTCCTGAAACATCAACTTGATGTTTTCCTGACACCTTCCCTTCCACATTCAAATCTTCTTTGTTCTCTATCTGGGGTTTTGCACTATTTCATCCATCACCTTCCTTCCTCATCCTCACCTCAAAGCCACACCTCTATCACTCTGTGCAAATGCTTTTCCACCCTTTGAGATCTTTCCATCGGGCCATTTTCTTTCCTGGTTTTCAAAAAGAAAGATCCAGCTTAAAAAAATAAACAACTCCTCCTGCTGCTCAGGGAATAGATGAGCAAGAGAAATGCACTCAATTTAAATAGGAAAATCAAATGGAGCCAAGAATGTGGTAACTTATTAATCAGAGATGAAAAGAAAGCAAACTAGAAAGCATACCGCTTCTGAGCTGTTGGAACTAGTTTGAGGACACCTGCACAGAAATACTGACTTAAAAAAAGTTCTTCAAATGCACTCAAAACTAAGAAATACTTGGGAACCAAACGTTTATCCTGAGACCAAAGGTCAAACAAAAGCCTGTATTATTCATTACCATTTGATCAAGACGCTATCTGAATTTTGTGCTGTAATGACAACGATAAATGTTCAAGCTTTGGGGGAAGGATTACATATAAGCAGTCATCTACTGGAACCCATTCATGTTAAGGGACTGTCATTCTTTAACTAATTAGTGAGCACCTCCTATGTGACAAGGACGATTCCAGGAGCTACAAAGCATAAACCATGACTGAAGTTTATGTGTGTGTTTCCCAAAATTACTGAAAATGTAAGAATCATTCAAGAAAATGAGACCATCTCGATAGATTTCATAGAATTTCTAAGCAGCCTCTCAACAGATTCAGAAAAGCCTGAATAAAAATTCAAAACCCCTTCCTAAAAATTGCAGTTCATCATTTATAATAGGGTAAAACTGTTCAAGGGCAGAAGAATGATTATCTTACTTTTCATTTTTAAAAAAGCCTCTAAAAAAAGCCTCTCCAGAATAGTATACAGTAAGATTTACAAATGGAAAAAACTTCAGTCTGACGATAAACATATAGAATCAGAGGACTAAATCGTACCTGTGAAGAGAGCTTTGTAAATTATGTGTACACCTGACAACAAGGAGGACCAAAAGGAACCAAGACATTTAAGAGATCTAAGTGAATGGTACGAGAACAGCTCCATTTGTCGTGTTGACATCGATTAAATTATATTAAAATATTATGTAAGTAATACGCTTTATCAAAGACGACTCTACAGAGTGGGAGGGGAAGAGGGAGATGGGAAGGAGGCACTCAAGAAGCTAACCGACTTCCTAAAACCCCAGATGCCACCAACAGTCAAGCTGTGGCTCCTGTGAGAAGAGGGACTTTGTCAGCACAGCGCCTCTGAACTTGAACCTGGCTGGAGAAAGTGCCACCTGGGAATCCGTCTAACTAGCTCAACAGGTTATTCCTCTCGGGCCAGCCCTTCCCGCCCCTCCCTGCAGCTCAGTTGGGGCAGGTTTCACCTGCTGTACAAACACCACATGCAGAACGTGAGAGCGGTGACTTGGACACAGCGACTTTCGAACACATGAGCTGCGTTAGAGCCCCAGGGACTTCAGCTCGCGCACCCTTACCTGTTGAAGCATCTCTTCGGCGGCATTGAGTTTCACCTGGTGTCCTTCCAGGCACACTTCCAGGTCCCGAATCTTTTCTCCTTGCGCTTCCACTTGGTCTGTGAGGACACTCACCTGCCGCAGGAAATAAAGCAATGGGTGGATGAGCAGAAGTGGCTCACCTGCTGCTGGGAAACAACACTACTGATCCTTACATAAAAAGGGCTTTCCTTTTAGGCGGGCGGCAGGTGCGGGAAGTGAGTGTCCTGGGTGGTGAAAACTCCAGTTATTTTCTTACCTTGCCACTGCCTGACTGACGTTGTCACATTTCCTGCTCTTGACACACTCAAGAGAAAAACACCCGGCAGTCAGGAGAGCTGCCTCCGGGCCGGACTCCTGCTCCTTAGTCCTCTTACAGCACTCACTCGGGCAATCTGGACCTCAAGGCATATCTCCTCTGGCAGGCCGGGGCTCTGCCACCTCGTGTGGAAGAGCAATCCAAACTCCTGTGGAAACTAACCAATGACCTTACCTGTCTCATAAGGGTGTGATGGCTGCTCACCTATCAGGCGAGTGTTCTGAAGCAATTAGGAATGTGGGATGTAAAGGGCATGTATTAGCACTGAGAAAACTTGGCTCCAGAAAGGTTTTTGTGCTTCACAGGCCAAAACATGACTCTAAGTCATAATACACACAAGCCACATTGCACATAGAGTGGCAGGAAAGTTGTCTTTCTAAAAATCATGGAGAAGATCTCTTGGGATTAATAAAGATCCAGTTATAGGAAGCCCTTTAAATTATACCCTAAATACTAATAGAGAGGATTTCCATAGCCTGCTCAAGTAGCAAACTGCTCCCAGGTCCTCCTTTTTATTAAAAAGGTGCCTTACAGCAGGAAGATGAAAAAAGAAACTAGATGGCCTCCCCAAATAAAGAAATCAATGACTAGTAAATTAAGATCCTTTAGACACTTTTGGTTTTTAACCAATGGTTGAGTCATTGCCATTTACATATAGATTATCTTAGATGACTTCTCAAATCTGTAAAGGAATGATAGCTGGAGCATGAAGGAGTTAATGTGAATCCACTTATGAGCATTTAAATAAACTATCAATTATAGGGGTGCCTGGGTGGCTCAGTGGGTTAAGTGTCTGACTTTGGCTCAGGTCATGATCTCATGGTTCATGGGTTCAAACCCTGAGTCGGGCTCTGTGCTGGCAGCTCAGAGCCTGGGACCTGCTTTGGACCCACTCTCTCTCTGCCCCTCCCCCACTTACGCTCTCTCTCAATAAACATTAAAAAATAAAAATAATCATAAAGCTCCCTTTACAAAGGGAAGAAATCTAAGTACTGCTACTTTAAGCTTTCCATTTTTTTTAGTGTCTTTATCTTTATCTTTTTTTTTTACAAATACCTTATTGTCAAATTAGTTTCCACATAACACCCAGTGCTCATCCCCACAAGTGCCCTCCTCCATGCCCATCCCCCGTCCCCTCCACATCCATCAGTCCTCAGTTTTTGTCAGCATTCAAGAGTCTCTCATGGTTTGCCTCTCTCCCTTTCCCCCACCATTTCCGCCCTTCTTCTCCCCCTTGTTCCTCCGTCAAGTTCCTCCTAATCCTCCTATACGTGCAAACATATGATATTTGTCCTTCTCTGCCTGACTTATTTCGCTCAGCATAACACCCTCAAGGTCCATCCATGTTGCTACACATGGCCAGATTTCATTGTTTCTCATTGCCATGTAGTATTCCATGGTATAGATAAACCACATCTTCTTGATCCATTCATCTGTTGATGGACACTTAGGCTCTTTCCATGTTTTAGCTATTGTGGAGAGTGCTGCTATGAACATTGGGGTACATGTGCTCCTATGCCTCAGCATTTCTGTATCCCTTGGGTAAATTCCTAGCAGTGCTATTGCTGGGTCATAGGGGAGTTCTATTGTTAGTTTCCTGAGGAACCTCCACACTGTTTTCCAGAGGGGCTGTACCAGTTTACATTCCCACCAACAGTGTAGGAGGGTGCCCGTTTCTCCACATCCTTGCCAGCATCTCGAGTTCTCTGATTTGCTCATTTTAGCCACTCTGACTGGTGTGAGGTGGTATCTCAGTGTGGTTTTGATTTGTATTTCCCTGATGAGGAGGGATGCTGAGCATCATTTCATGTGTCTGTTGGCCATCTGGATGTCCTCTTTGGAGAAGTGTCTGTTCATATCTTCTGCCCATTTCTTCACTGGGTTGTTTGTTTTTCGGGTGTGGAGTTTGGTGAGTTCCTTATAGATTCTGGATATTAACCCTTTATCTGATATGTCATTTGCAGCTATCTTTTCCCATTCCGTTGGTTTAAGCTTTCCATTTTTATGTTCCCAAATTATTATGAATTACTGAAACCTATTCTTGGAGTTGTTGCGGAGTGTACTAATATTCCAGTTATAATCTGGAAACAGGTGCCTTCTGTCAGGCCCATCTAGAACACAAAGCTTCATGGTGGTGTTTTCAGTCCTTGTGACCCAATACTCTCAGTAGTCCTGGCCTTTTATAGCTACTACCTCTGCTTTCCAGAGGGTGGCCTTTCAAAACCCCCTGGGTTCCAGAGTTTGTTTGGGAAGGTTGCACTGTGGTTAATCTTATTATGAGGATTAACACATCATCTGCACCACACCTCAGGGCCATGCGCTGGCAGTACTCACAAGTAATATGTGGTCTCCAGCATTCCACAGCCTGTAGCTCAGCTGTGTGTAAGGCTCAAGACACACAGGGCTATAGTGTCCTTACAGACTTTTGTTTTTTTATTTTTTCCTTACGAACTTTAATACTCAGTAGAAGGATCATGGAGACAGGCACAGAAAATTGGGACAAATGTATAAAGATCCTTTATTCAATAAAAGCGAATACTTTTTGAGTTCCTACAATGTGCTAGGCATACCTTTAGGCAATGGGGGGGAGGGCAGGGACTACAGAAGTGGAAACAAAAAAGGGAGGGGGTGAAAATCCTTGCCTTGAAAAATTACATTCTGATGAAGATATAAAATATTTTGGTTTTAGTATATATGCTGCCAAGGTGAGCATGGAAGATTTTGGTTTTGGTTTTAAAGTATGCTTTAAAGCCGGTTGAGCGTCTGGCTTCGGCTCAGGTCATGATCTCACGGTTTGTGGGTTCGAGTCCCGCATCGGGATCTGTGTTGACAGATCAGAGACTGGAGCCTGTATTTGAATTCTGTGTCTCCCTCCGTCTCTGACCCTCCCCTGCTTGTGCTGTCTCTTTCTCTCAAAAATAAATTTAAAAATTTTTAAAAAGTATTCTGAAAATAAAGTGATTTGTTACACATGATTGGCCTTGTTCTTCTACAAGTAGATCTAGGCAAACATTCTGGGCCAAGCACTTCAATTAATTCAGTCTGGCTGAGCTGCCTTGTATGTTAAGCAAGAGGCTCTACCATGTTGAGGGTCTAAGCATCTCCATGGGCCACCACAAAACAGGGCGATCACCTACCAGCAGCTCAGAAAGTCTGTTCACAAGCTCTTGGAATAGAAACCGCTAGGATCCACTTCTGACTTCCGTGATTAGTTTCCCATTTGTGGTAGGACTGTTGAAATAAGGATTCTTCAAGGATTCCGGGTTTAAAACAAAACCATGAATGTCAAAGAGAACGTTATCACAGAGGACTTAATTAAATTGTGTGCCTTTGAACAGGAATGTGTGATTTCAGCCACAAAGGTTCCTGGTTCAAAGGTTTCTGAGTTCAAGCTTTTTGCCACAAAATTTTAAACTGGAAACTCTGGTCAATCATGTCATTGGGATGGAGTTTCAAAATGCATCCCTTAAAATATGTGCTATATAATGTGCTATGTAATCTGCCCCCTCCCACTTCTCTGAAGGTAGTTTCCCACCAGACTTCTTCACGGTCATCCACTCCAGCTACACAGACCCTCTCTGTTTCTCCTATACATCAAGCACACTCCCCCATCAGGATGTGTGCAGGACCAACCTCCCTGCCTGGAATGTGCTTCTCTGGGCATCCACGGGGCTCCCTCCCTCACTTGCTTCAGGACTCCTATCAGGCAGGTCTTTCCTGACTACACAATCCTTATTCTGCTTTCTTTTTCTCCACATGATTTATCACTGCCAGAAACATTTTATGTATTGGTTTACTGGACGGACGCGCGCACACACACACACACACACACACACACACTAAAAGAACAGCAACTTAGTTTATTTTCTTCATGGCTGCAACCCTAGCACCTAAAACCAGTGTCTGCCAAACTGTGGTCACTCATACATACTTTTAATGTTTATTATATATTATTGAGAGAGAGAGAGAAACAGAACAAGCATGGGAGGGGGAGGGGCAGAGAGCAAAGAGGAACAGAGGATCCAAAAAGGCTCTATGCTGATAGCAGACAGCTCGATGCAGGGCTTGAACTCATGAACAAACCTGAGTTGAAGTCAGACACTTAATCACTGAGCCACCCAGGTGCCCCTCAAATATTTTTTAATTAAAAAATTAATGGGGGAAAAAAAAGAAGATTTAAAATTATATAATTGCTCATTTGGTCTAAGCTTAGTTATTTAAAATAGAGAAAGGACAGGGGAAAAAAGGTTAGGAAAAAAAGACCAAAATGTTAAAGTCTTTTTAACTTTCCAAAAATATCTAAAATAATCATTTATTATTCTTACATTCGTAAGATGAAATAATAAGATGAAATAGAAGGAAAAAAGCCAAATAGCCTCTTAATTCCAGTGCTCTAAGCTAAAGCCCACAGTGGAGGGTTCCAGAACCCCACCTGCCCCCTCTCCCGATCCACTACAAGCCCTGTCTAGCACCCTTCAGGCTTTTGAAGGAGCCAGGATTGGAATATGTACCTTCTTTTCCTCCAAATCATTAATCACAGTGTCTGATACATACCAGACCCTGAACACATGCTTGATTTATGCCTGTGAGAGCTAACACAGCCAAGGGCCCCTATCACAACAAAACGCCTCGTGCAAGCATGGTCAACTTTACGTCCTGCCAAGGAACAGGCGCTTTCAGAACCGGAAATGTTCCTTTGACTATCTTTCCCTGTAAGTTTTGGAGTTCCTCTCTTTGAAGCAAGAAAGTCATCAAAGGTTCATTAGCACATGTTACCAGCACCAGGGGATTTGGCCTCAAAGTGAGCCATCTAGATCCAGCTCCAGACAATTTGGGCCTGATCCTGTCAGCATCCACCCTTACGTCCATATCACTCATGGCTGTTTTATTAGAGACAGGGGGACACACTTATCTCCCTAAGAAGACTCCTGGGCTCCTGGAGGCCAGACCTCGTTAATCAGCCTGGCCCCAGAACTTCCAGTGTACCGGCTCTGCTGAGCACAAGATGAGTAAATGAACGCATATGCAGCCCGAAAGCCAAGTCCAGAGTTTAACTGTGGCTTCAGCTACTTTCTGCTTTGTTTCAGGAAGAGTATTTCTTAATGAACATACACTTCAGGAGCAGGAAAAATCCAACAGGAAAAATACCTCTTGTACTCCTCTTCCACTTAGGGCACCTACAGAGGCAGAGGGAACAGGATAAGCCGTTTCCCATGAAAAAGGACCCACCTGTAAAATGAGGGACTCCTTATCTCCTTCTAGACGTGCCAAGCGTTCCTGGTATGTTTCATTACTAGCAGCACTGTGGTGATTTACCTGGGACTAAAGAGAGGAGAAAAAAAAAAAAAAAGAATTACACTTAAAAGGCTGGGAAAACATCTCACCAACTTCCAAATGAAGTATGCAATTTGTGAGGACAGTTTCGCTGGTTGCATGTATAAAACCACCCACCTAAACAGGAAACCACAAGATTTCAAAACTACTATGAGGAGGACCATTGAAAGGTGTGCCTTGAAACCTGGCAAAATCGCCCCCCCTCCCCCACCCCGATGACCTCACCCTTGGCCAGGAAGGCCTCAACGGAACTCCAGACCCAGTGGTGCTTGACTTGACTGGGCGTGTTGGGTCTGGTTTAGGTGGAGGCAGAGCCTGCCAGAGGCACCAACGGCAATGAGTCTACTCTTTAAGGAGGCCAGGGAACTGGTACCATTCACCAAGGAACTATGTGGGAACAAGTCCTACACAGATCACGGTCTCTCCTCTCACACCAGGGTTCTCCAGAGCCACAGCACACCTCATAGCATGGAGTCCCATCCTGAGCACCCCAGGGAACACAGAAGATGGGGGATGCCAGCCACAAGGCCCTTCATCCACTCACACGTGTCTTCCAGGAGTGGCCAATCCCTCCCTCCATAACGGCTGGAGCAGGCCAGGCTGGCATGCTGCGTGCTTACTTCTCTCGGCTCTCACATTATATGGAAAGATGAAACATCCTGAGAAGACCCCAAATGATAGCCAGGGGGACCTCAACGGGCTAACAGGAAACAGAAAGATCCAGAAGCCAGAAAACAGAGTAAAGGATGAAGATATGAAACGGCAGATGGGAGGCAGAATTCATAAAATGCTCTGAGCAAGAGACAGGAGGCTGCAGTCACTTTTTGGGTCTGACCTGGTTGTAGGCAGGGAAGAGGGACAGAGGTGGCTGTTAATGTGACTGAGCTGGCCCAATGCCACCAACACTCCCTCCATACTTAAAGGAAGGCGGAAACCAAGAGGCCCAGGGTAGGCCATTCAGGGGCGAGGCAGCCTGAAAAATCAGATCTGATTGCTAAATGGGGAAGTGACAATCATCAGAATCTGGGCTAGTCTAGAGGAGTAAATGCTCTGAGGTTTATGAGGCAGTCTCCTGATTCCAAATGCAAGTCACCGTTGTGCAAAAGAGCACGTTAGAGAGGAACCCAGGCCCAGAGGTGGCCCCCTTCTCCTGAGCTCATTTCCCCACATTCCAACCTTCAGAATGGGCTTGCCAACCCAATGTCTTCCTTGCCCTAGTCCCACCCCTTCCCTGATGCACTGATGAGGTAAGGACAGGGGGCAGGGCTGGGCCTCGATCTCCAGCAAAAACAGGGACTGAGCATTGTGCATTCAAGCCCTGGAGTCCCACTTGTGAGAGAAGCATGGGCTGTTGAAGGTGGAGCGGGAGGGCCAGCCCAGGAGCCATATCCTAGGACAAGGTAGCAGACAGAGGCTAGCTGGTCCTGCAGCTCCCGCTGCAACCACTGACCCTTACTCCTGCCTCTCTCCAGTCAGCATCTTGTTCATTGTTATGGAAGCTCTTTCATACTCAAGACAAAGGGCCTTAACAATCACAAATGACTTCTTTGTGTTGATGGCAGTTTATTGTTGCTACATTAATTGTGGTCCTCACATGGTCAAATTCTGACTAGTACACAAGGATATAATTATAACCTACGTTTTCTCAGAACCTAAAAAGAGAGGACGATAATTCTCAACAGCAGGCCAAATGCTTCTCTGTCAAAGAACTCACATGATGGTTATTTTCAGGACATAGCCAGAAAAGGACCCAGGCCCCCAAGGGAAGATGTGCACATCCAATCCCAGTGCCAAAGTCAGCATACATATGGGGCCACCCACCCCCGTAGCTGCCACTTCTCCATCAGGAAGGGAAGGAGAGAAGACCCAAGGGACGACTACAGCAAGCCACCACACCACTGTGCCTCAGTCAAATGGAGCACAGTAGGTTCCTGACGTTATAGGTCGACACATACAATCATCCAGAGGCACAGCTGTTTTTACTAACTGGCCAAAATGCAAGTTGATGTCATAAGTTCAGTTAGTACCCAAAATGCATGCCACAGAGTAACAGATGCTAGAAGTAGATTTAAAAAACAAAAAACAAAAAATGAACCTGGATCCACTCTAGCAGCCAAAGGAAAAAGTGAAGTGCAGGGAGTTACAAGATGCATTGATCAGTATGGTAAATAAAGTCAAACCAGGAGAAACAGTACTATTCTTAAGAAGGGAGAAACTTCCAGATTTTCACAGAGAGACTCTATGCAATGGGATAAACATCCCAACATCCATGATGGTATCCTCAGAGTAAACAGAGCCCAGGAGAACTCACTGCTTTCCTGTGATACCCTCTAAATAGGTCAGAGGTTAAGGAATCATATGGGCTAAAGGCCAAAGCAATTCAATGGAGAACCAATCCAGTGTGGCCCAAGCAAAGTACGGCAGATACATAGTAAGCACTTACATAGTACTTGACATGAGCCAGGTACTGCTGACAGTACTTTACATGCCTTAACTCTTAATACTTCCCATAATCCTGTAAGATGAGTACTATTCTGATTCCACTTTGCAAATGAAGGAACCAAGGCACCAAGTGTATTAATGAAGTATACATGGATATTTTGCCTAAGTGACTATGTAGTAAATTAGTAAATTTTCTGTTGTAGCTTAATTAAAGAGATCAAGTACAAATTTTGTTTTAGATATTGGGATTGTATGAAAATTCACTTAAAGTTTGAAAATACTATCTGAACCTAAATGTCCATTAATAAAGGAGAGGCTAAACAAACTATGGTTCATCCATAGTGTGGACAGTTTGTGTCATTTCAAAGCATGAGGTAGATATTTGTGAACCAAAAAAATATCAGATATCCTAGAGAGTGAAAATAGCAATATCCAACAAACCATACAATGTGGTATTAGAAAACAGTACTACACAGCTCCATGGGTATATGGCAGATGTATGAAAATAAACAGACCAACTATCTGGAAGACCACATAGCCTAGAACAGTGCTCTCTCTCGGGGATGTGTCTGGGGGTGGGAGGTTCAGTCAAGGTGGGAGTTTATCTCATCCATAAACATTTTTGTAAGATGCTCAAATATTTTCTTGAATAGTTAAAATACATTTTAAGATCTAGGAACACTGTTTGAGTACCAACAACAGTGGTTTTGGGTACTTGCTTCCTTTGATAGCAGTCTTGAGGGGCATACCCTCTCCCCCAGCAGTCACACTGGTCCACGTGACAGTAATGCTCAAGGCAGAAAGGCACCTCCCTTGTCCCAAATCATGGTTCTAGAGTAATAGTACATCTGCCTTTCTCATTCAGTCTACCAAAATCACTACTGTTCTCCAGCAAGCTTTCAAGAAGTATTAAATGGCAGTGAGACGGAGATAACGTCCCAGACGTAAGTCTGCAGTATCGCCATTCTTTGTTTTTCCTGACACACAGAGCCAGGTCTTCACAATATAGAAAAGATTGATATCTTGAAAACTGCAGTCCCTTAGAAAGGCACAGACCAGGATAAAACACCATCTCCACTTGAAGAACCTGAAAAGCATCTGAGAACAGAGCCAAGAAGAGGATTATGTTAGCATTATCTCATTGAATGCAAATATTTATCAGCTGAAGGGGAGGATTTCGTTAGGACATAAAAGACACGTGGTTATGAAAATGTCATTCCAATTATTCAGAAACATGCTTAAAAAGAGGTGGGGGAGGGTGCCTGGGTGGCTCAGTTGGTTGAGTGTCTGACTCTTGACTTCAGTTCAGGTCATAATCCTGCAGTTCATGAGACTGAGCCCACATCAGGCTCTGCACTGAGTATGGAGCCTGCTTGGGATTCTCTCTCTCTCCCTTGCTCTGACACTGCTCATACTCTCTTGCTCTTTCGAAATAAATAAAAATTTAAAAAAAAAAGAAGAAGAAGAGTTAGGACACAACTTTGTCTTGTCTTATTTAAAAAAAAAAGAGTTTGTGGGGTGCCTGGATGATTCAGTAGGTTAAGCATCCGACTTTGGCTCAGGTCATGATCTCATGGTTTGGAGGTTTGAGTCCCGTGTTGGGCTCTGCTGACAGATCAGAGCCTGGAGCCTCCTTCAGATTTTATCTCCTCCTCCTCCTCTCTGCCCCTTTCTCCTCATGCTCAGTTTCTCTCAAAAATGAATAAATCTTAAAAATAAATTAAAAAGAGCTTGTTTAATCAGAGGGTACACCAGTTTCCCTAACTCTAACAGTGGAATTGCAATAGAAGGCTCAGATCAATTCAGAGATCTGAGTCCCTGAGTGACTCAGGTTTCAGCATCTCTGAAAACTCTTGTCCATGTTCTCTAGGAGGTAAATCAGTGATAGAGTAGCTGCCCAGCTCTCCATGCACGAGGCTGGACTAAGACACCCATGCTGGCATCCAACCAAGGGAAGACAATCAAGTCAAATTCTGAAGGGTGCTACATGTTAAATTTCTATTCCTCCACACTCCGGCAGGACAGGTGAATTTAAAGGAGAGTTCTAATCTGTTCTACTCTATTGAGAATGCTTATGCTATTGATGAGTAAAAACAACATCTTTCTTATTTATATTCAATTAATGAGATCAGCCCCTAGGCTAGACCTAAAAGACTTCTAATGTACTAGGTGGGATATACATCGATTTGATTTTCTCTTCTGTTTTTTAAAGAAAATTTTTTAATGTTTTTCTTTATTTCTAGGAGAGAGAGAGAGAGAGAGAGACAGCGTGAGCAGGGGAGGGTCAGAGAGAGAGGGAGTCACGACTCTGAAACAGGCTCCAGGCTCTGAGCTGGCAGTCAGCACAGAGCCCGAAGCGGGGCTCGAACCCACGAACCACGAGATCATGAACTAAGCGAAAGTCGGACGCTTAACCGACTAAACCACCCAGGTGCCCCTGATTTTCTCTTGTGTTTTGATGGTTATTTCTACAAATGTGACAAAAGAAAAATGGATCTTCTCATTCAAATTTCCTATGGTCAGAGCTGTTGCCAAATCTATAATTG